GCTATGAACATTTTCATGATCTTAGTTATTTTTAAACCAGATGTCGTATCAAACTTTGAAAATCATCGGCTCGTGATTTGTGAATGAAAAGTCAAGAACCAATAAGCATAGACTGATTTCACCTGCTCTAAAGGGAATCATAACTTACACACTGAACATCACTTCGTTTTCAGCATGACCTGAAACTGGCGAATGAGACCATAACCTCGACATGAAAGTGTTTAATGTGGTCACAAACCCTGAGAGCCGGTGTTTGTTTCCCATAGAGCTGAAACAGAGGAGCTGCTGGCTATGACACACTGACACTTCTGTGGCTTCACCCTTTCTAACCTGTTATTAATGTTTGCCTTGGCTTTGTTGTCTTCTGATAGGCCACCACACACTGGGTCCCAGCCAACCAGAACCTATTATTACAAGGACTTCTTCCCACCCCTTAGTCCCAGAGCAAACAGGACCCATGCTAACGCGTAGCGCCTCCTGTCGAGAGCCGTCTATGACCAATATGAAGAGAGCCAGTGCTGAAGTGGAGGTGATAAGTCCGTCCAGTCCGTTAGGCAACCGTGACAACATGATGACCTTCAGCAGCAGCACACTGCCAAGGTAGCTGTTTTTTAATGAGTCCATAGTCATAGTTGCACTTTGGAATATCTAGTTTTTTATTGTTTTAGTTGAAAAGAGATCATGTTTATTTTATCCATTTTTTCAGTAATTTTTTCCAGCAAGTAAAATTGTCTGTTTTAGAGATTCTGGAAAGTAAGGAGTTGCAGACCAAGACGAGCTGTCTGCAGAGTCCATGATCTTTGGATCGTTATAAACCGTGGAATAATGGCAATGATTGGGAAACCTGATGTAGTTTCATGTTGAGGGAGTGTTGATGGGCAATATGAGGCTGATGGGTCATTGTCACCACCTCGACAACGTTCGGGGGGGTGGGTGTCATGGACACCTACGTTTGTGAGCGTAGGTGTCCATGACTTCAACGTCACAGGTCACGAATTCTTGTCAATGTGATAACTTGAAAACAAGAACACGTAGCAAATTGATACCATGTTGTCTAGAAGGCTGAGGGAAGCACTGGTGGTCGCCAGTATTTTTGAATTCCACTTTATACAATCATGTGCCAGGTGGAGGTTTTTAATAAGTAAAGTAAAATGTTATTTATATAGCACCTTTCAAGATAAAATCACAAAGTGCTTTACAGAGGCAGAAAACAGACATTAAAATCT